TTTACCAAACTATCAAATTTGCGCATAGTCAGAGCATCATGTGCAAGTTCATCAAATCCATGAGTTCTCAGATATCAGTGAAAAGTCTGGAACAGCTAAAATCAGCTAATTATCATGCAAATTAGGTAATTAATATTCATAGATTTTTACCAAAACTAATCAACTCTGCGCATTATCCCAGAGCATCTATGTACCAAGTTTCACCAAAATTTGATTAGTGGTTCTTGAGATAACGGTGGAACAAAGAAAGTGACATACATACATACATACAGACATACAGACATACAGACAGGGTAACTGCAAAGACTCCCTTTTGTGCTTCGCACACGGGAGTCAAAAACAAAATTCTGCTTGCTGCCATTTTCAAACAGACTGGAAGAGCTACTAACATAGCCACGTTGGGCCTTCGTGGAATATCACTTGTCAGGTGATCATTCAGTGTCTAAACAGGTTTAATTTTACTAATTTAACACTAAATTTCAATTTATAAATATGTTCACTCTATCCACAATATAGCAATCCGAGCGTGTAATAATTCACATAGTGCTAGGGAGTCATCAGATCCCGTTAAAATAATGACATTTGAAATAGTGACCTAATAATTATAGAATATTGACTTTTGAAGTTCAGTATTCTTCAAACATATTCTATGTTCACTTAAATGTATGGCCTGATTCAACATAAATTAAAAATACTGTTGACACAACAAACCCATTCTCTTGATTTTTATAAATATTCATTGTTGATACAATCCCAAAATAATAAAAAAAATGTTATAATAATATTCAAATGATGAAATAATAATATGAAAAAATTTAGACTGATGTAATAATGATTAGATTGACATGCAATAAAGTTTCATATAATGAGACAGTAATGTAAACATGGTCAAACAACAATGTCTATATGTGAGTACCGGGGTACTCCCACTTCAATTGCACATAAACAAATATTTACCAGGAGAGACAATGACATCTCAAACTTTTGCCCCCTCCCCCCCACAAACAATTTAAAAGATAAATATTGTTACGACATTGAGTCATCAATAGATTAAATAGATTTGGTGACCCAATAAATATTGGGTGAGATTTGTGCCAATAACCTACAATATTTTTGAGGTCATTATGAAAACATTTAATATATGAGTGGGACAGAGTATTACATATTTATATGAAGTTAATATTTGAGAGTAAATTTAGGATTAAAAAATTGAGTAGATATTTAAAAAAATTATTACATTTTTTAGTGATTGTAATGTAATAATAATAATTTGACAGGGAAGCTAACTTTAGTTTCAACATGTTTTTGTTTTTTGTGTTTTGACAGGAGCGACTGTGTTGTCATGGCAATGCTGTGGTCAAGAGTGGCTATTTGTAAGGTAAGTACACATTCTATGTACATGGTATCTGTCACTATAATATCAATAAGACACAAACAACCAATATGTACTGCATTAACTCATACAATGTATTTAACTGCCATCTGACTTTATAAATATTTTATAACATTGCATGGCTTTGTTTACTGCAGTGTAGTTAACTAATTATTGTAATTTGCTCAGTAAGTTAATAATTTTCTATTTATTGGTGACAGTAAACAAGCTGTTTATGATAACAAGAAAGCAATACGGGGAGGCATTCCAGTTGTATTCCGTAAGATATTAATTTTATTAGCATTTGATTTGCAATATCAATATTTTAAGTTTTTTATTTCCTGTGATGTCAGTTAAAAAAAATGTTAAAGTTGTTCATTGCCATTCAAAAGCACAAATAATTTGTATGATAATATCCATTTTGTTCCAGCTAATTTTGGCCCATGGGACCTAGGACCCCAACATGGATTTGCTCGGATCAGCAGATGGACCTTAAGTCAAGCACCAAGTAAGGTATAAACAGTATATACAGTACATGTACACAGTGGTCAATCAGAGTTATGGTCAGTTATAATTATAGCCAACTATAATAACCATAGTAGACATAGTAAAATAATTAATTAATATATGATCATTTATAGTCAGAAAATATTAAATTTTTCATAATGTTACAAACTGTTCTAACTGGTCAGATTTCTTAAGAGTCTTGTGTGCTTTATGTTTTTGAGGGAATTCTGTTTTATAATACATGATCTAAACTTGAATTCTGTTATTCCAACAAACTGGTCATGACTAAACATTTCAAAATTGTATAATTATGACAACTAAATTAGAATAGTATCAAACTTATTTACTATAATGCAAAAACTATATTTTCTTAAGACAAAACAACATCACAGCATTATAGGTAGGAATTTATGGAAATTTGAAGACACTATATAACAAATTACTTTTGACTATAATTGGAATGTTCTGGAATAACTATAGATTGAAACAATTTTTGACAAATTATTGCTATACACATAGTTATGATATCACAATTTGTTCACATATATATTTGAATGAATGATTCATGGTCACTGAC